TTCATTTTCATCTTTTTTCTTTTGTATTGTGTATATGTTAAGGCAAGGACCGTCTCGGTAGAGGGTAAATACATAAATATGTATGAACAAGATAAGAGAATCATTCTTTGTATTATTTCATGATAGAATTTCATGCAATCATATCTGTACGTCCTCACTGCGTGGATGTATTTGTATTATTACAGTCCTTTTTGACTGCTCTTTTCACCCATTCATCTGCTCTCAATTCGATATCATAATGATAAATCTTTCAGTCACATATTGACGGTAGGAAGAGGGAGGCATAAAAAATGCGAATTTGATTGCAGTGGCACTGGAGTGTAGCAAGGGGTTACCTCCGATCATTAAGTTGCATTAAATTATGTTGAAACTCTACCGCCACACGCACGAATATTGCATGGATTTTTAACGGCTTTACATTTGAAAATTAAGCTTTAAATTTATATTTAATTACATCATATCATGCAAATACTCACATATGGAGGAACAACAATAATGACAATATAGAAACAGCTTTTATAAAATATGTATGGAAATGCTCAAAGATTAAAATCTGACACAGAACTTATATTGTGTATGCATTATTATTATTTGCTGTATATATAGACCGAAAAGGGAAAAAAGGGAAAATATGTGTACCGTGAAAATGGAATGAGGCATATCAGTTATTACATAAATATGTTTTTAATATATATAAATAAATGAAACTCGCATATAGATTACAGAAAATGAAACGAAAATCATATTGCTTTTGGCATAAAAATGAGCAAGGAGAATAATTGAAGGCAGAGCATGGGTGAGTGAGTGAGAGAGATGGAATTATGATAAAAAAATGCAAACACACAATATGTGTTAAGCGGGAAAAGATTAATTATTTCAAGTCACAGGTGTTGATGCTTTCAGAGCTTGAATAATTTTTTTCTGCTCTCCTTTTCTCTTTATGAGTTTTACAAAAAAATGAGACGAGTAGCATAAGTTACAAGCTCGTGGGGATGCTTGGGAAGCTTAAAAGCTTTTATTTTTTAAAAGTTCTGAAGGAATGTGAAGAATTTTGAACTTTATTTGAAGGAAGAGTCTTATTAAAGAAGTTTAAGAGTACTAGACTTGGATGTAAATAGTAAAGCCGTACTATATTGTGGACATCTATAATATCAAACTTTAGCTTGAAGATAGTCAGATAATGTTTACTTCAGCTGCCTCTGTGCGCTTGTTTAAATCCTATTTTAGTACAATCTTAAACTATAAGACTAAGGGCTCAATGGTCAATGAGTGTGGCAACAGATCAAAAATCTAAAGCTAATTTCATTGTAAAGACGTAAGTTTGATTCCCACAATGACTGAAATTTGTCGAAATGACAAGGTTTTAGTCAATCTTATGAAATTACATCCTAGTTTATCCTGTTATGGACTTTACATTCAAGAGGCACCTCATAAGAGATTAGATGTTCATATTATGTTTATCCTTGAATAAAGTAGTATATCCAGAAACCTCAAAATTCAAACGAAACAAATTCTTCAAATAAAATCATTTCTATAAATTTGAATTCCAAATTAATTTGAAATTTCCATCATATTTGCATTAATAATATATAACCAAACTGCCAAAACTGAGCAGCACACACAAGAGCTTCAGGACCTTTGCAAAAAATTGCAATATGAGACTTTCTTATGCAGACAATATTTTTTTGAATTTTCTCCACAGAGGAAAATTAATTAAATCATTTTCATTTAGTCATGTCATTCAAACAATGAAGCAAAGTCTGAAGTGAGGTGAATGAGATGGATAGAGAAATGTGCAATTTTCTTGTGAGTCAGTTTTGATATAAAAGAGCTTATTTCTGTATGATAAATAAGTCAAACTTTTTTTTATAGTGCATTTTATGTCATGGCAAATAAGCAAAATGAAAAATCATAAAACTTATTTCTCTTGTTCGTCTTTCCTCTTGTGGTCCAATAAACAATATGAAATAAAAAAAAAATTTCTCCTATAAATATATTGCCTTAATATTTTTCTTCTGCTTCTTTTAAGGAATGAAAGTTTATGAAAAGAATAAGAGTAAATTCATGTTGTGGCTGATGAAATAAATGTTTCATGTTTTTGCGAGTTGATAGGTTTCGTATGTAATGAATATGTTGTTGATTGAGCTGGAATAGTTTGTTATTGCAGTCTTAAAATTACTTGTGGATGTGAAAGTTTAAGTCCTGGTACGAATGATTTTCGTACTGTGCTATTTGGTTCTAAATGCTTTTTTGAAAAGGTGGACTCTTACTAGTAAAGGTTGGAGGTTCGATTTTTAAGACTGTTAGGCACAGCAGACCTTAAATATAGTCAAATTTCATCAAAATCTTAAGTATAGTCCATAGATTTTCGATTCTAGAGAACCTCCCTATTAGTATCAAGAAACAGGCCCTCATGTAGCTTTCTCCTCTTAGGGGTTTAGTGTCAAAGTACAGAGCGTGTCCATTATTAAGCACACAAAGTTATTCATAATCTTAATTACCTCCTTCTTTCAGGTTGCTTATTACAGTTGTTTTAATTATACTGCAAGTTTAAGACCTTAAGGATGAACTTTACAATTTATTCTATTCTGTCATCAAAACTAGTCGACTCTAGTTTCATTGCAAGCATCATCAACAGTGATTAACAGTTTGAAATTAAAAACAAAAGCTGTTGGCAAAAAATCTTTAAATTTTGTAAAATGAAAGCCATTGAAAGTTGGAAAATCTCATTTAGTTCTTGTGAAATTCAAGCTGCTTTTACGGTATTCATTTCCCGCATGTAGCAATCAATGTAACATGGCAACATTCAAATTAATTCCATCTTCCTTAGCATGAGCAAAAACTATATAAACAAAAATTGTAAAGAATGAAAACTTTCTGTAAAGATTGAGGGAAGAGGATGGAAAATTGGAAAGAAAAAAAAGAACTTTTTTGAAAATAAAAAAAAAAGAAATCTTTCAAGAACTTTTTCTTTCTCATATATTTATATACAGAAGCTAAAAATTGAAAGAATTTTCCTAGCAACGTTCCTTTACATTCATTGCATTGTGCAATTTATTCATGTGGAAAAATAAAGTACAAAAAAGCATAAATAATGAATTTTCCATTAAAAAGTTACATTTTTCTCCTATAAAAAAGAAGATATTGCAGAAAACAATAAAGCTTACTTCTTCTACTTGCACTATAGAGGACTTTTTATACCCCAATACATCCTCAACCTCCCATTCTCATCGTTTTTTTCAGCTAACACACAAAAAACATACAGAAATGAAAAGATTTCTGAAGCAAGAATGAACATTATGCTGGTTAGCGCGATTGGTCAAAGGGAATAGGCACTATTATTAAGCTTGCGTTATTATCCGTCAAATTAGAGGTTACCTCCAGTTCTGATCAAGGGTGTGGTACTGATGAAATGAATGTTATTCTTCAGTTCCAACCTTGATTCTGATTTGCTTCCAAAGATTTCATCGTTATCATTGGCTTCTTCTACTTTCCGAGACATTTTAACTTGTCACAGTTGTTCCTAGTGTAGCCCCAGATTGTCTTAGAAACCGACTTCTTGATAGGCCCAGTCTCAAGTCATAGCATCAAGTCTTTATTTTCATTTTTGTATTGATAAAAATGTGTGAATTCACGATGCCAAGGATTTGATGCCAGACATTGCTGTGATTCTAGATATAACGTCTTTTCTATAAACATAAACGCGCTTTTGAATACTTAAAACTAACCACATCTCTACTTACTTTTTTGTGTGTTTATATGAGCTCCATTGAGAAATATACTTAGCTCATAGCATAACCATAATATTCGCTAATTCTTTTATTATTGTGTATTTTATTTTTTCTCATTTCATTCCTTTCTTTCTTCCGTTTTTCCAATATTCCTTCCCTCTCTCTCTCTGTGTGCTTTCTCTTTCCCTTCAATGTCTATGAAAGAATAACTATTTGAAGCAATAATCGGGAAATGGCAAGAAAAAATTCTACATTTAATTTCTTATTGCTGCTTGTAGCGGAAACAGATTTTGAAGATGTTTCGTTAGTTTTTGTGTAATGTTCTATTGAGACTTCTTGTGGCCTCACAAGGATTGTACACTTTATGGGAATGTATTAGTGCTATTTGTTGAATGCAGCTTAACATGGATTTAGTTCTCTTTTTCTTTGTAGATACAATTTAATATTCTATTAGATGCGAAGAATATTCAGGAACGATTTGTTTTCATGGAAGTAATCTCGAGTCTAGCTAAGAGCTTCGTTATATATGATTTGTGTGTATTCATGAACTAATTAGATGTCTATAGAAAATTTGTGTTTAATTAATGCTGAGTATGATAAACTCATGATGTGCTTCCAAGGAAAATACTGGTTTATCTTTTATGCTGAATGTTTGGATGTCGATTGAATTAGCGTTGAAACTATCTAAGATGTATCAAGAGCAGTGCAGTTCTTAATCTTTATCTTCATTCTTCAAAAGACACAAATGTGAATCTACAGCGAATCTACATAAGCTTTGATCTATGTGTTGGTTAAGTGTGTCTCCAGGATCTCCCAAATTCAACTCTATAAGATCCTGAAGAACAAATTTATTAATCCACTTCACAATACTCTTCCAGAAAATTTAAACATGCATAAAATTCTTGTTACACTTTAATTAATAAAATTATTCCTTGAAATTATGTTGTATCTTGATGATATTCAAAGGATAATACTTCTTTCATCTGTATTCACTAACTTTGTCAGACATTTAATACAGTTGATCAAAGGAACTCATAGTAATCCTTTAGAAACAGACAATTCAATGTAGATTGCAATTACATGTGCGTCTTTAATATTGTTGTTGTTATGAGTTCCAACAAATTATGCGATGTTCTAGCAGATTTGAAAGTAAATATTATGAAGTAAATTCTTGAAGATTTGTTAAAGCTAACTTAGTAAGTTGCTAGCGGCAATTTGTGAGATAACAGAACCATGAAGAAGAATTTGACTTTTAGATGAATTTTGAAGATGTTTATTATGAAAACAACAACAACATTTTGCGCAGGTTAGTGATTTTGTTGCTTTATGGAAGTAGTTGTTTGGCACAAATTGACTTGTGTTTTTGACCATTTTGACATTTAAAGGTTTCTGATATTGACTTAATTTGTTATTATTGGAACGTTTTGATGTTGAATTTTATTGGATTCTGTTAATTTTTATTTTATGGATCAAGACTTGTACGGTTCTATGCTATACTCAACTTAGTATCTACTAGGGTAGATCTTAGGGTAGGATCGAGATGTAGGATAAAGTGAATTATTCTTGATCCAGAACTCGATGTCTCTCCAATACTTAAATTCTCTCAAAAGAACAAATTTTCCCCATAAAAATTATCCACAACTACGTAAAAACAAATTTTTAAGCAATCATCAAATTTAAATTGTGCGAACTTAATGTAATGTCTAATCAGTACATGAGTCCATGATGTAAAAAATTATCAAAGGACATGAACATTTTAAACAAACGATAAGAACTTATCACCCCAAATCCATTGTTGAAACCATTTAAAATTTTATGACCATTTTAACTTCTCTTTTAAGTCCATTCCCTCATTTTTATCCTTGTCTCCTTTCATCTTTCTTCTTCTTTTTTGTTGGAATTCTTTTGTCTAGCATTTACTTATGGACGTTCATCTTCTATATATTTAGCTATGAATCTGAGCTGTTAGATTTATTATTCTTACAATCATAAGAAAAAATTCCATACACAGAGAAACAGCAAAAGAAGGAGCAAGGAACAGAATAAAAAAACTTTTTGTGCTTCAAGCATTTTTGACACAAAAGCAAAAGCAGCAGAACGATAATATTTAATATTGCTTAGGTTAGATGAATATTTTTATGCTTACGAATATTTGAAAAAACTTTTACTCGGTGAGAAAGATATATAGCTCATGTACAGTTCCCTAATGGAGAAGAAATTACATATCATAACGAAATTAAATTATTTTCATTGTCACAAATTTATGATGTTTTTCTTGCCAACCCCTACCCATCCATTTTACAGACTTTTCTATAAAAAAATATGTCTTTAAAAATTAGGCATAAGAGACGTACGAGAAGAACGAGTTTTATGCATGCATAAGCAAAAGTATGGAAAATGGAAGTAAGGAGAAAATTTATATTCTATAGCAGTAATTCAATCGTGCAGGTTGTCTCTCGTTCTTCTCTCTCATTTTCATTCTTATAGATAAAACAGACAGACAAAAAAAAGGTATTAAAGTGTTAACGATGCCACCGCAGAAAAAAATGTGATTTTTCCTCTCTTATTTTATAAGGAGCAGCAGGAACAGGAAGGCACTTAAATTTTAAAGCCTGATAATTTTCCATTTCATCGTTCATGCATTTTTTAAGATGATGGCATAGAGAATTTGCAAGCAAAAATAGTTTTGCTCATCAGCGTTGCTTCTTCTTTTGTGAGAAAGATTTTTTAGTGCTTGTTGTGAGCTAAAGTTTGGACGCTACTGTTGCCATATTGTCTGTTGTTTAAACTGCTCTTGCTACTGCTTTTGCCTTTGTCTAAAATTTTGAGTGGCGGTTGAACTATTCTCTGGTATTGGGAATTATCAAATGGTAAATGACGATTGAGCTAGCTTCAGGCGACTTTTAAGTCTGTCATATAGTGTTGGTTGATATTTAAGTATCCAATTGCAAAAGGCACAAAACCGTAATGCGCTTCCCAATCAATTTAACAGAGGCATTTCCAAGTAAAGCTTGTTTGGAGATGAAGAAGGCAAAAACTAGTCAGATAGAAGAATATTTCGAGAATTTATAAATCTTTAAGAGAGGAAATCTTGTGTCAAAAGCATAAAGTCCACTCATGCTTTCGCTATTTTCCCTCACGCTTAACATTCTCCAAGACGAAAATAGAAGAAGAAGATGGAACGATGAAAAAAAAGGGAAACCTGTCGTATATAAAACGACTATACAAAGCACATTATAATGTATTCAGGAAGGTTTTTCACTCATAAAAATATACGGCATACCCAGAACGACTGGGTAAGAAGAAAGAAAAACTAGATGAAAAGATGAAAGCAGTTTGTTTGCGCTTCAGCAAGCTTCACAATTTTGTTAAGTTTTATGCTTGAGAAATACCTTAACAATTTTTATTCCCTCTCCGCTTACAGCTTGTGTCTTTGAATTTTTCTTTCTTTCTTCTGTGTTCCAAGCTGGCGAGGTCAATTGGATATCTGGCGAGCAGTCAAATATTTGACGAAGGATGGAAATTAAAAAAAATTCTTTTATTTCTTGTGTAAAGGAGAGGAAGTGAATTGAGGGAAGGGGTTGTGTGCAAATGATGTCTATGGTTATTTTACCAGGCAACTCTGGTCTCTCAATGCACGATCAAAAGAGTCTAGTAGGAAGTTTTATTCGATTAGCTCAATAAAACATATCAAAACCTACCCTAGTCCCCCTAAATATTGACCAACATCCACGAATGCACCCAAAGAAAAAAATTTAATTTAACATCTTCAGTAAGGAAGACGAAAGTCATCCACAGATAGTGCTGAAGTTCAAGAAGATATTTTTTTACGAAAATGTCGACAACGCTGATAATAATATGGTAAAGGCAGAGACATAAGAAGAATGAATGAATATTTTTTTTTGTGTGCATGATCTAATGTATTTTTAAATGGTTTTTATCTCGTTATTCACCTCATTCAACCATCTTATGTTTGTTTGTGTAAATGTCTGTTCTGCGGTTGGAGGATCTTTGTTATTTTCCTAGAAGACATAAAGAACCTTTTGAGGAAAGCATTTCATTCACAAAATTTATTATTGTATATTTATAACATCCACGTGTACACATTGAGAATATATCAAAATTTTATACACAAAAGGAGAGTTCCTGTTACAATTTGCCTAAAGATTCTTCAAAAATAATTATTATCTCAAAAATATCGGATATAGAAACTGACTGTTGCTTCTCCTTTGTAATTTAAGAAAATGTCTCAGGAAATATTGGATGTTTTTGAATTTAAGGTATACGTCTTGACAGTGATATGCTTGAATATGCTTTGAGGAGATAATAAAGTCATGGAAATGGTAAACTTCCTTTGATAGCATCTCAATCAATATCATGAGAAATAGTGAATTTGGAATTAATATTTGAGGTCTGTTAATATTTTAAGTAAGGCTGACAATACAATCTTTTCTATAAACAAGTTTGAAGCACAATATTGTGTGAAAAAGGTAGACAAGAGAGTTGCGTCGTCAAAATTTAATTTTGACAAGAATTTAACGGTTTTTGAAATTTCAAATTTTTATCATTGAAATTTCCTCACTTCAAAAAGTTTTTTAATTTATTTGATGCTTTTAAACACTTTAATTAAGCAACTGTTGTTTCGAGAACTTGTAAAAAAGTGGCAAGAATTCAATACAAGAACGTTGAAGCCTTCAAAACAATAATAATCATTGGATTTTTCAAGAAATCTTAAGTTTGAAAACTGCACTGATTTCATCTCTAGAGAATGCAACCATTGACATCAAATTATATTTCATCGTTTCAAAGTTCTTCTTCAAAATCAATAATTCATGAGAGTTGAACAAGAACGTTTAAAGTTTACACAAAAAATTGTGAAAATAAAAATTTATTCTATTAGCGTCCTTTCATATGTTAATCCATTTGTCTTCTTACATTGAGAGAATTTATTTTATTATTTTATTTCCTCAACTAAAAGAAGGAGTTTCCATTTCCTCTTTCATTCTTTTTCATTTCTTGATTTTCCCTTAGAAAATATTATAATTCTTATTTGGAAATTTTACTCTTGTCTAATTTGTTTCAATTTAATAAGAGATGTTGTGTATCTAGAAATGTCGACAGAGGAACGAGAACGATGAAGAAAATGCTTTTGAATATCTTTCATCCTCAAGAGATGTTCAAATACTGTAAAAAATTTTACCCTCTATATCTCTCTTTCTATTTGTAAAATGGCAAATATGTACATAAATATTAAAGCTTTGACTCGCTTGCTTTACTTCCTTTAATCTCTTTTTCTCTTTTCCCTAAATTGTGTGTACAGGGGCGTAGCCAGAAAATTTTTAAAGGGGGGGCCCATTTTCGAAAATTAAAAAAATTGTTATTTTGTATCCTTAAATCTATATTCATTCTTCATAAGTTTAAATATTTAATTCATTATTCATACATTAAATTTAATTTTTCGTGCTGATTTTGACATTTCTTTCATCACTTCCTCTACATTAACTGGTTCTTCTCTATATATACTTAATAAAATAATTTTCAGATTTTCGTAGGGGGGGGCCCGGGCCCCCTATGGCCCCCCCCTGGCTACGCCCCTGTGTGTGTATATGTTTCTCAAAGTTAATGGATGGTTTCAGCATTTCTTCTCTAAATATTTTCTCAGTTTTCTTTTTGTTTTATTTGTTAAAGAGCATATTAAGGATGTGAAAAAAAATTACAAAAGTCCTCGTGTTATTGATCGAGGACTTCGAGGATTCAGCGCATTTTTGACGAAGCGATCAGTATTTGATTATAATTAATAATTTGCTGCAATGAATTTCCATATAGAAAAAGTTTATCATTTAACAGTTTTTTAAAATTTGAAATTTTACAACGGCTAGAAAAAATTTGAAATTATAGAGGTAAATTTGAATTTATAGAGGTAAAACAAAATTTGAGCAGGTTACACTGAAAACAAAACAAAAACTCATTAATTATAGCATAAATACACTGCTTGAAGACTTTTAACTGTTCGATCGGACAATAAACAATAGTAACGGAGCTAATAAAACAAATCCGAGCTCTCTACGATGTCTGGTTGCAAAGTTTTTATGCTTGCCCGAACGAACGAACGAACGAACGAACGAACAAAGTGTATTATTGAGCTCCCTTTTCGAAAACAAGTTTTCAAAAATGCGCTAAAAAGTTGAAGAAGAAGTTAAATTCATCCAAAATTTATTAAGTATACATCTTTTTAAAGAAGTAAGTTCCTCTTCCTACATTAATTCTTTGGAATTTGTATTATTTTTGGAGCCTTATTCCACTCATGTAGACTAATGTAAGTAAGTAATGATTTTGGAAGAAAATTAACTTAAGAATGCTCTCAAATTTCTCAGGAAGAATTTCTATTTTTGTATTTCTATTGAAGACAATGGCCTGAGAAGTTAAGATTGGAGTTTTCATAAAGATTCAGATCAATTAAGCAATGCGATCACAAAATCTTCTGTTTGATTTCTAAAATAAAAAACAAAATTCTAGGCCCAAAATTATTATTAAATGCTTTGTATTGCTCCTTAATTTGCCGGCGAATTAAATAAATTAAAAGTTTAAGTTTTGACTTTTGTTTTTAAACAAATCTAATTTCTTCTAATATGGCAATTAACATATTTCTAATTGTCTGTGAAATAAAAAGGATTTTTTTAATGTGGATCAGCAGTTTGAAGTCAACACTCTATGAGGTTAAATCAAGTTTACACGAGTTTTTCCAATAGTGTTGTTAATATCATCAAGTTGTTGATTCTTTATCGATTTATGAATTTAAATTCTCAATACTCTATCATTACTCTATAGATTATTCGTGACAAATCAAGTGAATCGACTGTGTCCAAAATTATTATCTAGTTTTCATAAGTCATTTAAAGTCGATTGAAGCAGCACGCATTTCAAATATCCTTAGTGAAATGGAATTCGATTCAATTTTTGATATTTCAAATAAGATTTACTCAATCATTGGATTCAATGTTACATCCAATTCTATACCATATACCTTAAAAGAAAAGATTAAGATGATCTCTAAAGTTTGCATTGGAATAACTTTAATTATAAATTACTTCATCACCACGATTTTTCTCATATTTTTCATATACCAAAACATCCACGATCAGATAAAAGTTTTCGAGGCAGTCGTTAATTTGGATCTTTTAATCTTTCTGTCTGTAAAAACAATTATTATTTTGAGGAGGCAAAACGATATTCGGAATATTATTCAGAAATTGAGAATCAATTCCAAAAACACGAAGTATTTTCAAAAAAATCTGACATTTTTTAATCGATTGCAAATTTTGTCACTAGTTCTGTTCGTGTCAACATTTATTGGATTCATGTTTGGATGCATTATTGAAAACATCCCGCCGAGTCCAATTGGAAAAAATTTAGTCTACAAGCAGTGGATGCCATTTGATTACCAGCCAATGCCGATTTACATCATCACAAACATTTGGGTTGCATCTGTTGCATTGAGTGTGATTCCATTGCAAATAGCAAGTGAAGGAATCTTCTATGCATTATTAATCATTCTGTCTTCAAAATTTAATGATCTCGCTGAGAGTTTTGAGACATTTGACTGCAAAAGTGATGCTCAAGGATTAAAAAATTTAGTCGTGCAATATCAAGAATTGCTGAAAATCAGCACCGACATCGAGTCAACATTCTCATTATCAAGTTTCTTGACATTCATTGACAGCTCTCTCATGATGTGCTTTACTATCTTACAAGTCTTCATGAATCAAGGACAATGGTTTCGTTATCATGGCTTCGCTTCATTCTTTGGCATCATTCTTTGCCACATTTTCTTCTACTGCTATTACTGTCAAAAACTGCAGACAGCAAACTCGATGGTTGGTGAGAAAATTTTAATGAGTAATTGGTACGAGTCAAAAAGCCGAGATATTTTAAGGATGGTTCAAATGACAGCAATGAAATCTCAGAAATCAATTCGTTTAACCGCAATGGGGTTTACAATCATCACGATGGAAACATTTACAAATGTAAGTTGAATCCAATATTTTACAGTCAATTTCAAATGAATTGTCATTTACATGTTGCAGGTTGCATCAGCCGCTTATTCATATTTCTCATTTATGAGTTCATTTGTGGATTGAATTTCGAGTATTTTGGCTTCAGTAAAACCTTTATTCGTATATTTGTCATCAGTCAAGCAAATGATGTTTTAATGGAATAATGTTTAAATTTATTGATGTTTGTCACGAATGTTAGGAAGTTAAGTTGTAAACATACAAAATTTATTACTATAGCTGAAATCTGATGCGAAATGGCTTTTGAGAGCTTTTGTGTAAATTGTTGCTGAATTTTGAAATGGAAATTATTAATTTACTGGATATGTTTAGAGTGCAGCAGTGTTGTTTAGTTTATTGACTTGACATACATTTTAGAAATTTGAGTTGCAATCATTTAGATACTCAGGTAGACACTCTCTCTAAGGTAGACTTTTAGAATTTTGGACAGAAATACTTTTGAAGGGTTTGAAACTTAGCTTTTCTAAGGATATCCTTATTTTTTACCAATTTTCTTAACTTTCTTCTGTAGACGTGACGTGATACATTCTAGGTCCGTACTGACAATATTCCATTATAAAATAATCTTGTATATCTTGCTCCTATTCCGCCCGCTACACTTCAAGTTTCTGTTCCGTTTCTTAATCCAACGTTGCCCAAATGCCCAATTATGGCTTGATCTCGTACATTAATCACTCGAAGTATCAAAACTTCTGGAAAAGAACAAATTTGGAAATGGCTGGATTCGAACCGACAACCTTCGAGTTATCATACCAAATTTAAGACAAGTGCCTTTATTATTCGACCAGCAAGGCACTTAACTGCTTTGAATTGAAGAGGATTTTAACTGTATAAAATATTGTAGATGTTTGTTCCTTAAGGATAAATTTTTGAAATAATTGGCTTGTCAAACTTTTGTGTCTATAACTCAGAAAATTACAAAAAAATCGCCTTTGTTTCTACGAACAAAACAAAAATTAAATATTTCAGCAAAAATAGCGAAAATGCTTCACAAAAATATTTTATTGAAATAAAAATTCCATTTAAATTAATAAATATTTCTGGAAATCTAAGCGAGAATTTTCAAGAAAGTTTAGCAGATGAAAATAGCAACTTTGTGATTTTGACAATTAAAAACAAGATGCTTGAGGTAAAATTGCATTTATCACAAAAGTTTTTGTTCACAACAATAAGAAAAAAAAGTAAAATTAAAATTTGTTTTGTTGAATTAAACTTTGAAGTAGTTTTTCCATATAAATACCACTATAAGTAATGTAATATAATTTAAAGTTGGTAGGTAAAGGAAGGAGGGAAACTTGAGAAACAAAACTGCACACAAAAAAAGTCTTCCTCATTTCCATTTCTTTCCTCTTAAAATATCTCTTAAGAGAAAATTTATTATAGGTTTTTAAAGTTTTCTTACATTTTTCGATATCCATTCCGGTGTGTGAAAAATTGCTTTGGAAGTAAAACTTTCGAGCAATCGATTAATTATCGTTGAAGTTTTTCCTTCTCCTTTTTTTTACGGTAATTTTCAATGAAAATTTTCTTCCGTCTGCTTTTTATTAATCGCATTTGAGATATCCTTAAGTATATTCATTTTCACACACAAGTGAAATGAAAAGTTTTTCTGTTTCTTCTATAAGAATTAAAGTAGTAAAGGAGTCGATGACACTGCATTTGATTTGAGGATGGAGCGCCTTTTTGGCAATCTGATATAAGCTGCTTCTGCTATCATCATTTATTCATGGTTTATTGCAAGGATACAATCATGTAGGAAGTTCAGAATTAGCCTACCAAATAACAAAGTAGGTTCTTAATCTAGGGTATGTTCCTGGTAAACATAGGCTTACCTAAGGCTTAGATAATCAAGATCTAATATTAATCTATGAAAACTCTGTCCTAGCTTCAAAATTTGTAGGATTTTGTGAATCTTCGGCAATTTATTCTTAATTATTGCCAATGCCCTGCATGCCCGTGTGAGATAAAAACATATTATATGCCTTTCAGTCATTGTAAGTCAGATTATGGTTAGATCGAATATTAGGTTTACTAAATTACAGTCTTTACAGTCAAATGTCAACAATGGCTATAGCTTAAACTTTTAAACAAACTAAGAGACTAGCAGACTTTGTTGATGGAGAGAGTGCAACAGGAAGCACTCTTGGATTGGTTATGTTGAAAAGGACGCTTGAGTCGTAAATATCCCGAACTGATAGAAAGTGTTGAAGGATAGAGCTGTCTTTAGACGTTCTTTAAGCGCGGCAATGGGCCCACGTGTGCCTCAGCGAAATAAGTAAAGAAAGTAAGTAAGAGAATAGCCTCCTTTGGAAGATAAGAACAATCCCCGATTAAACTTAGCTACTTGGCTTACCAGCTACTCCAACCATTCTTAAATTGACACTCTTTAAGTCTCCCAGCATGCCAAAATGAACCAAAAATCAAAAATTTACACTCAAAAAATGCAGGAACAATAAAAAAAAAAGTTTGTTTTAAGTTTTAAATGCCAAGGAAAATTTCCTCCTTCCTCAAATCTCATTTCAGCCTTCTTGTTATGCGTAAGAATAAAAGTAAGATAAGACAATATATATAGGTACATATAAATTTATATGATATGCGAAGTTTGTCGCCTTAATACCCTTATAAAAGAATTGTGTGTATATATCTACATATATAGGAATAAAATGTGAGAAAAACATGAGTTTAAGGAGGAGGTGATGGGAAAAAGAACAAGAAGATATACACACATATTTTGCAATTTGATGCTCGTAAAACAAAATACAGCAAAAAAGATCATAAAACAGGCTATATGCCTATACATGTAGGAGATATAGAGACGTTACATATGGAATGTGTCAACATGATTCCTGAATCTTATTTTATTTGAAACTAATAGTCGTTTGTTATATTTTATTTCCACCCACCCATCTTCATGTCTGCCTCGTCACATGCTTCTTTCCATCCTTCGACATAATTTTATAGATTTTGATACAGAATGGAATGGAATAAAAGATTGTATGATAAGAAGGGATGGAAAGTTAAAATGCCTTCTCTTACAAATTTAATTAAAATTAATTGTTCAAGTCAAGACATAAAAAAAATTGAATCAATGCTGCTGCCTTAATTTTTTTCTTCTTCTGTTTCTTAGCAACATTCCAGTTTGAATTAAAGACATTTTGTCTAATATAAAGTAACGATGAAGCCAACTTATTAAATGTTTTCTCAAGAATGTCAAAATGAATTCTCTTGACAGCACTTCCATCATCTTTTTTTTTCTTACGTCTGACAAGAATGAAATTTTGTGTAAATAAATTCGTTTTACAGCATAAAATGCTTCAAATTTTGAGGATGAGATAAAAAATTTCGAGATTAAATTCGACGAGATTAAGTTCTAAGTAAATCTCATTATAAATAGAAACGTGCGCTGTTCAAATGGTAATTTGACAGGTTAACAACTTCACATTGAATTTATCCAATTTTTTGATGACAGAATTCTTGAAATTTGTTGCTAGGATCATGTTTGAATGTGGTTAGTGATTTGTTTGAGGCTGTTTGAGTTTATGGCAGAATTATCTTTTCTCTGGAAGTTGCTGCAGGTGGAACGCCCATCATAATCGTTGATTCTGCAATGAATTTTGAGATTCAGCTAGTGTTAATCATAAAAAGCTACTTGTTAAGTTAAAACAGTGAAAAAAGACTCAAATCTGATTATGTACACACTGAGGTCGAACCTTGATACCCACTTTTTTCAAAACCTCCTTACATACACTTCTAGTATGGACTTTGAAACTATAAAAAAGCTAGAAAGCATGAAGAGGGCTCTGTCTTTTGAGCTGGAGGCACTGTGATTCAAATTAGAACAGAATCTATTGTACCACTCCCTTTATACCTACAGTTTATAGTGGAATCAGAACCACGCGAAAGACACGAGTACGTCTAAGACCTGATGTACCCTGTAATGTACCTAGTCACAATTTGTGTGCAAAAGTTGCTGTAATGATATCATCATGATGCTAGTATATCCAAGTGTATCTAGCAAAGGAGACACATTTTGTGCCAAAGACATCAATACTACACCCAAGACACGAACCGAGCTTCGTAACTAGAACGGTGAAAAGGAAAAAGAGCTTCAAAAATCGACATAGCCTGGGATTGAACCCAGAACCTTTGGTACGTAAGGCCAACGCTCTACCATTCAGGCCACTGATGCCATTTCACCACTTCCCTCAAACCTTACGAAATATAACTTGATTGAAAACGAATGAAAATGATTGAAATTCAACAAAAAAAAAATTATTATTAAAACTGATAAAAAATAATTGATGCTAGTTGGTTCTAAAGCACACTCCAGAAAATTTCCATTTGCATCAATTAAAAACTTCCCTTCGATCATCAAGCTGAAGCGTGATGATGGAATAAAAAGTTTACCCAGAATTTCATCACTCATACAAAAAAGTATCCTCGAAGCTCATTCTAGCGAATGTGTATGTAAATGAAGGCTTTAACGGTTCACACATTTATGATAATTTCCAATTCAATTATGGATGCTCCAACAATATATATATAGAGATATCACACACAATCTTCTTTTTATTATCACTTGCGAATGATTGATGCGCATTACGATGACTTTTGTATTTTCGCACTTGTTCCTCTCGCTTTTATTTAATAAAATTATAATGTGATAAAACGAGTAGGAAGGGAAATAAATGAGAGCAAAAATTATTCATTCAATGTCTTTTTTTTCTTGTCATAATTTATGTTAGACAATTAAAGAATATATTTGATAATTTGTTTCAATATCATTTATAGAGTGTGTAACACTTATAAAAAGATGATATAAAGGTAGGCAGGGAAGGAAAAATGTTAAATTATTGCAAGAGCAATGTATACACACTTATTTCTCATTTATGTATTTTTGCACGAGCATATTTTTTGGAAGAAGTGGAAGCAAGTTAGAAGTTGATGAAATTTGAGGTTATGTTGGGATGAAGCATAGAAATTGTTGAAGATTCCAGATCAAGGGCTGTTTGGAAGCTACCCGAAGTGATATTTAACTGCGACTAGGTCCACCAATGGAGGAGGAG